CCACCTTCCTGCTAGTTCATTCATTCTCGTTCTATTCTAGATTCTAACATGGTATCAGAGGCCTAGGTTGCTACCTAGGACCGCTTTCTACAATGGGCCCACTATTCCGCTAGAAGCGCCCTCGTGCGCCCTACCTTACGTGCGCCCTCGTGCGCTCTACCTTACGTGCGCCCTCGTGCGCCCTCGTGCGCCCTCGTGCGCCTTTCTCTGCTAGTGCGCCTTCGTGCGCCCTCGTGCGCCCTCGTGCGCCCTCGTGCGCTCTCGAGCCGCCCCTGCAGGTCCGTCAGGCCCCCGAGCCGCCGCTGCAGGCCCGTCAGGCCCGAGAGCCGCCCCTGCACACCCGTCAGGCCCGCGCGCAGCCTCTGCACGACCGCGCGCCGCCCCTGCAGGCTCTCGCCGCCCGCCGCGTCGCCCTGCCCGTGGCGTCGCCGCCTCCCCGCGGCGTCGTCGCCTGCCCGCGACGTAGCCCCTGTCCGCGGCGTCGTCGCCTGCCCGCGGCGTCGTCGCCTGCCCGCGGCGTCGTCGCCTGCCCGCGACGTCGTCGCCTGCCCGCGGCGTCGTCGCCTGCTCGCGGCGTCGTCGCCTGCCCGCGGCGTCGTCGCCTGCCCGCGGCGTCGTCGCCTACCCGCGGCGTCGCCACCTGCCCGCCGCGTCGCCCTGCCCGCGGCGTCGCCACCTGCCCGCCGCGTCGCCCTGCCCGCGGCGTCGCCACCTGCCCGCCGCGTCGCCCTTCTCGCCGCGTCGCCCTGACCTAATCCGCCTCTCGCCCCTGGAGCAGCCGCCACTGCAGCAGCAGCCCCTGGAGCAGCCGCCACTGCAGCAGCAGCCCCTGGAGCCGCCCGCCACTGCAGTAGCAGCCCCTGGAGCCGCCCGCCACTGCAGCAGCAGCCCCTGGAGCCGCTCGCCACTGCAGCAGCCGCCCCTGGAGCCGCCCGCCACTGCAGCAGCCCCCTCTGGAGCAGCACGCACCTGCAGCAGCCGCCCCTGGAGCAGCCCGCACCTGCAGCAGCCGCCCCTGGAGCAGCCCGCACCTGCAGCAGCCGCCCCTGGCCCCTGGAGCAACCACCGCTGCAGCAGCCGCCCCTGGCCCCTGGAGCAGCCGCCACTGCAGCAGCCGCCCCTGGCACCTGGAGCAGCTGCCGTCGCGGCCCGGCCTCGCCCTGCAGCAGCTGCCGCGGAGCTCCCTGCTGCGGCCCGGCCCAGCCCTGCAGTTGTAGCGGCCCCGCTGTCGCCACCGTCTTGCGCCTGCCGCGCCGACCACTGGTGAGCATTGCCCAGCACTGCTACCGCTGCTACTGCTGCTACTGCCTTTTCTACTCCCACTGCCACTGCTCCTGCTGTTACTGCTGTTGCTGCCGCTACTGCTACTACTGCTGCTCCTGGCGTGGCCAGATGCAGCTCCAGGGCCGTGCGCGTGAGTCCCTCACGCCCCAGCAGCTTCGTGCGCGTGAGTGGTACGCTAGTTAAGGCTGTCGGGGTGGCCGTAGTGGTAGTCGCTCTGGAGTGGGTCGGTCGGGAGCTTCTGGTAGTGGACAGGTGCAGCTGCCGTGTCCTCCTTCGCCCCAGCAGCTTCGTGCGCGTGAGTGGTACGCTAGTTTGGGCTGTCGGGGTGGCCGTAGTGGTAGTCGCTCTGGAGTGCATCGGTCGGGAGCTTCTGGTAGTGGACAGGTGCAGCTGCCGTGTCCTCTTTCGCCCCAGCAGCTTCGTGCGCGTGAGTGGTACGCTAGTTTGGGCTGTCGGGGTGGCCGTAGTGGTAGTCGCTCTGGAGTGCATCGTTCGGGAGCTTCTGGTAGTGGACAGGTGCAGCTGCCGTGTCCTGTAAGTGAGGCTGCCGCTCTAGGTGCTAGTACGTCTGTTGCCCTAGGTGCTGGTGAGGCTACCACTCCCGGTACTCACGTGTCTGCTACCCCAGGTGCTGGTGAGGCTGCTACTCTAGGTGCTAGTGAGTCTGCGCCCCCTGGTACTGAGTCGACTGAGGCACTGCACACCTTCACCCTGGACTCAGGTGCTTCTCGCTGTTTCTTTCGTGACCGCACTGCCCTTGAGCCGCTTGCTCGGCCAGTTGCTGTCTCCCTCGCTGACCCCTCTGGGGGTCCGGTCATTGCGACCTCCTCCACTGTTCTTCCCTGTCCTGCGGTCCCGTCGGGCAAACTGTCAGGTCTCCACTTCCCCTCGTTCTCTACGAACTTGGTGGCGGGTTGTGCGCTCCAGGATGCGGGTGTTCACCAGTTCACCCCTGCCTACGAGCGCGTGACACACTGCACGTGTGCTCGGACGGGCCGTCACCTGGCTACCTTCACTCGGCAGCCAGGGTCGGACCTGTACACACTGACCACTGAGTCCCCTCAGGTAGCTGCGTCTGCGTCTGCGTCAGGTCAGCTGTCGGCCCCCTGCTCGTGTCGCTCTCTGGCGCATGAGACCGTCCTCTGGCACCACCGACTTGGTCACCCGTCTGTGCAGCGCCTTCGTGCCATGCACAAACGGTACCTTGTCTCTGGTCTTCCCAGGGTTCTCCCTCCCCTCCCACCCTCGCCTGCTCCTCCCTGTCTTCCCTGTGTCGAGGGGCGGCAGCGCGCCGCTCCTCACTCCTCCTCCTTTCCCCCGACGACTGCTCCCTTGCAGACGCTCCACTTGGACGTGTGGGGCCCAGCCCGCGTCCGTGGACAGGGTCAGGAGAGGTACTTCCTGATTGTTGTTGACGACTACTCGCGCTACACCACGGTCTTCCCCTTGCGCACCAAGGGTGAGGTCCCTGATGTCTTGATCCCTTGGATCCGCAGAGCTCGTCTTCAGCTCAGCGAGCGTTTCCGCTCGGACTTTCCTGTCCTGCGTTTGCACTCTGACAGAGGTGGTGAGTTCTCCTCCGACCTCCTGGCAGCCTACTGTGCGGAGCACGGCATTGAGCAGTCGTTCACGCTTCCGGCCTCTCCACAGCAGAATGGGGTTGCTGAGCGCCGCATTGGCTTGGTCATGGAGGTCGCTCATACCTCCTTGATCCATGCGGCTGCCCCCCACTTCCTGTGGCCGTTTGCTGTCCGATACGCTGCGCATCAGCTCAACCTCTGGCCCCGTGTCTCCTTACCGGAGACTTCTCCGACACTGCGTTGGACGGGAGAGGTTGGCGATGCGTCACGTTTTCGGGTCTGGGGATCCCGAGCTTTTGTCCGCAATACGTCCGCGGACAAGCTCTCCTCTCGCGCTGTTCCTTGTGTCTTCCTTGGCTTTGTCCCGGACGCGCCTGGTTGGCAGTTTTACCACGTCACCTCGCGCCGGGTTCTGGCTTCTCAGGACGTCACTTTTGATGAGTCCGTCCCCTACTACCGCCTCTTCCCCTACCGCACTGCCCCACTCCCCCCCCCGCCTCTCTTCCTCGCTCCAGGTGCTGCTGTGGTAGACCCCCTCCCCCCTCAGGGTGCCGCTCCCTCAGGTGTGTCCCAGGTAGACCCGGTTGAGCCTGTCGAGGTAGCTGTAGACTCTCGTCCTGCTCGGGGTGCTGTGCCTGCGCGTGAGGAGCTTGGCGGTGCGGAGCTTGGGGGTGCTGAGCCTGGAGGTGCGGAGCCTGGGGGTGCTGAGTCTGGGGGTGCTGAGCCTGGGGGTGCGGAGCCTGGGGGTGCTGAGTCTGGAGGTGCTGCGTCTGGGGGTGCTGAGTCTGGGGGTGCTGAGCCTGGTGGTGCGTGTCAGAATGAACGGACAGGAATGGTTGAACTAACAGTGAAATCAGTACAAGTACCTAACCCTAGAATTGTGTACCCCCTATAGGCTAACCCACTGTAGCCTAAACAAACACAACATATATAATGTTTGACACACCCCCATAGGCGAAGTGGGGGAGAACTAGGGGTCACAAGACCGGTCAAGGCAAAGCAAGACAAAACAAGCTCAGGGTGGATCTCAAGGATTCCACACAAATTCCGAGCACAAGCAAGTGGTCACAAGACCAGTTCACATGCAGGTTTATAATAGAGCAAGAGGTACAATGATCACAACCTAGCAAGAGTAAACATGCAGGTATATATATAGAGATCACAGTACAAACAGAGTCAAGAAGTAAGCAAGTGAGGTCCAGTAGGCACAAGGCCTAGCAGAGTGCAAAAGCGCTGATGGTCACAAGGCTGAAGCGCCTTGGTGAACACATCAGCAGTGTTGGCCTCAGTGGCCACGTAACGCAGACAAAGCTGACCACGCTGCTGCAGCTCTCGAGCAAGGAAGTACCGCAGGGCGATGTGCTTCGTTCTGTGCTCCACTCTGTGCTCCTCACACAAGGCAATGGCAGCCTTGTTGTCGACGTACAGCACTGGAGGAGAACGAGGCCGCTCTCCCAAGTCGGTCAGCAGGTAGGTCAGCCAGCGTAGCTCCTGGGCCGCCATGGCTGTGGCGTAGATCTCAGCCTCACAACTGGAGCTGAGAACAGAAGAAGAGCGTGTAGAACGCCAAGAAACTGAGCCAGAGCCAAGGCTGAAGGTGTAACCCTGAGACGACCGCTGAGTAGCCTGGTCGTCCGCCCAAGAAGCGTCTGAGTGTCCAGTGAGAACAACTCGGTCTCGCCCTCCAAGCACTAGCCCCATGCCCGACGTACTGCACAAGTAGCGCAACACCCTCTTAGCGGCATCCATGTGCTCCTTCCTGTGACGGCTAGGAGCGACATAGCGTGCAAGGATGCTAAGAGGGTATGCAAGGTCAGGTCGAGTGCAGGTCATCAGGTACATGAGGCAGCCCACAAGCTCTGGATATGGGCCACTCGGCTCTACGGACTCATCCGAAGGCAGAGCTGAGAGCGAGTGACCGGTAGGCAGAGGAGTAGACTGAGGCGAGGAGTAGGAAGAGAGGACGCTGGTAGAGACGGCAGAGGGACACGATGAGGAGCAGTGGAGCGACGCAGGACCATCTGGTGAGTGCCTGGGACAGCAGGAGGACGCTGACGCAGGACACGACGGACAGTGCGAGCAGCACGAGCCGGTGACGCAGAGCGAGACGCAGGCGACACAGGACGAGACTCAGGCTCACGACGCTCCGTAAGATCACCAGTAGGACCAGTGTAAGGAGAAGGACCAGGGAGAGGCGAGGCAGGCGGTAACTGTGACTGCGACTGGACAGGCGGGAGACACTCTAAGGAGGGAGCAGGACAAGGAGGAGGAGGCTGACCAAGAACCTGCTGAAGGAGCGGAACGAAGTACGGCCGGGGCCGCGCAGCGTCTCCAGAACCAGTAGAGACACCACCAGCACCCGCAGCAGCTCCAGCAGCGCCAGCTCCAGGGTCCTCAGCACCAGCAGCAGCTCCACCACTAGGGTCCGCAGCACCAGCAGCAGCTCCAACGCCAGGGTCCGCAGCACCAGCAGCAGCTCCAGCGCCAGGGTCCGCAGCACCAGCACCAGCTCCGACGCCAGGGTCCGCAGCACCAGTAGCAGCTCCAACTCCAGGGTCCTCAGCACCAGCAGCAGCTCCACCGCCAGGGTCCGCAGCACCAGTAGCTGCTCCAGCGCCAGGGTCCGTAGCACCAGCAGCAGCTCCAACTCCAGGGTCCGCAGCACCAGCAGCAGCTCCGACGCCAGGGTCCACAGTACCAGCAGTAGGAGGGCCACTCCGAAGACTGCAGCGTCACGTGTACCACTCTCGGATCCGCTCAATGGAGGGCAGCTCCTGCGGCGGAGGGGAAGCACCGGTGCCAGCTCCAGCAGCACGCCCGGCTCCAGAAGCACCTCTCCTGAGGCTGCAACACTGTAAGTACCTCTCCTGCAGCTGCTGGGAGGAGAGGGCTCCGCCAGGTGGAGGACCCTCAGGCTCAACACCCCCAGACTCTCCACCTCCAGGCTCAGCACCCCCAGGCTCTGCACCCCCAGACTCCGCACACCCAAGCTCAGCACGCTCAGGCTCAGCACCCCCAGACTCCGCAAACCCAGGCTCAGCACCCCCAGGCTCAGCACCCCCAGGCTCCACACCCCCAGGCTCAGCACCCCCAGCAGGACGAGAGTCGACAGCTACCTCGACAGGCTCAACCGGGTCTACCTGAGACACACCTGAGGGAGCAGCACCCTGAGGGGGGAGGGGGTCTAATACAGCAGCACCTGGCGCGAGGAAGAGAGGCGGGGGAGGGAGCGGGGCAGTGCGGTAGGGGAAGAGGCGGTAGTAGGGGACGGACTCATCAAAAGTGACGTCCTGAGAGGCCAGAACATGGCGCGAGGTGGCGTGGTAAAACTGCCAACCAGACGCGTCCGGGACAAAGCCAAGGAAGACACAGGGAATGGCGCGGGAGGAGAGCTTGTCCGCGGACTTATCGCGGACATAGGCTCGAGAGCCCCAGACCCGGAACCGCGACGCATCGCCAACCTCTCCCGTCCAACGCAGTGTCGGGGAAGTCTCCGGCAAGGAGACACGGGGCCAGAGGTTGAGCTGATGCGTAGCGGACCGCAAACGGCCACAGAAAGTGGGGGGCAGCTGCATGGATCAAGGAGGTACGAGCGACCTCCATGACCAAGCCAATGCGGCGCTCAGCAACCCCATTCTGCTGTGGAGAGGCCGGAAGCGTGAACGACTGCTCAATGCCGTGCTCCGCACAGTAGGCCGCCAAGAGGTCGGAGGTGAACTCACCACCTCTGTCAGAGTGCAGCCTCAGAACAGGAAAGTCCGAGTGGAAACGCTCACTGAGCTGGAGACGAGCTCTGCGGATCCAAGGGATCAAGACAGCAGGGACCTCACCCTTGGTGCGCAAGGGGAAGACCGTGGTGTAGCGCGAGTAGTCGTCAACAACAATCAGGAAGTACCTCTCCTGACCCTGTCCACGGACGCGGGCTGGGCCCCACACGTCCAAGTGGAGCGTCTGCAAGGGAGCAGTCGTCGGGGGAAACGAGGAGGAGTGAGGAGCGGCGCGCTGCCACCCCTCGACACAGGGAAGACAGGGAGAACCCTGGGAAGACCAGAGACAAGGTACCGTTTGTGCATGGCACGAAGGCGCTGCACAGACGGGTGACCAAGTCGGTGGTGCCAGAGGACAGTCTCGTGCGCCAGAGAGCGACACGAGCAGGGGGCCGACAGCTGACCGGACGCAGACGCAGACGCAGCTACCTGAGGGGACTCAGTGGTCAGTGTGTACAGGTCCGACCCCGGCTGCCGAGTGAAGGTAGCCAGGTGACGGCCCGTCCGAGCACACGTACAGTGTGTCACGCGCTCGTAGGCAGGGGTGAACTAGTGAACACCCCCGTCCTGGAGCGCAGCACCCGCCACCAAGTTCGTAGAGAACGAGGGGAGGTGGAGACCCGACAGTGTGCCTGACGGGACCGCAGGACAGGGAAGGACAGTGGAGGAGGTCGCAATGACCGGACCCCCAGAGGGGTCAGCGAGGGAGACAGCAACTGGCCGAGCAAGCGGCTCAAGGACAGTGCGGTCACGAAAGAAACAGCGAGAAGCACCTGAGTCCAGGGTGAAGGTGTGCAGTGCCGCAGTCGACTCAGTACCAGGGGGGGCAGACTCACTAGCACCTAGAGCGGCAGCCTCACCATCACCTGAGGTGGCAGACACGCGAGTACCTGCAGTGGCAGTCTCACTAGCACCTAGAGCGGCAGCCTCACTGGTCAGAATGCCCGGGTCGGGCGGAACACGCAAGTACTGAGCACCCTCTCCACTAGTAAACATCGCATACATGGCAGTGAGAATAGCATCAAAGTCTAGAGCCCAGATATCAACACCCTTCTTCTCCAGATCAAGCCAGCGGGGCAGCTCACCGCCGTCAGGGAACTGAGCGCGCCAAGCGTCGTCAAGGCGCGAGAAACAGCGGTGCGTGGGGTGCGGCCTCCCACACGTCTGACCAGTGCGGTCACCAGTGCGGATGACGTACGTGCAGCTAAAGCCACGCGCCCCCGGGCGCTGGGAATACCACTCACGGGCCTCCTGGAGCGACGGAGTGTGCTGCTGGCTCAGACCACCGCCAGCGCCTCCACGACCACCACCGCCGCCGCCACCTCCTCGACCACCTCCTCCCCTGCCGCTGCCACGACCACCTCCGCCCCCGCTGCCGCCCCCGCCCCTGCCACCGCCTCCGCCGCTGCCGTCACCACCCCCACTGCCGCCACTAGCCTCTCCAGCCCCTCCTCCACTCCCACCGCCTCCACCCCCGCCTCCCCCGCCGCCACCTCCACCCTTGCCCCCTTTGTTCCTGCGGCGCCCGCTCGGAGCAGATGCGGTCCCGATATTCTCAGCACCAAGGAGGTCGACAGCAGAAGCAGAGGCTACAGAGGGGAGAAGGGGGGAAGGGGAACACCCCTCAAAGAAAGGGGTGCGGGGGTCGCCACGAGAGGTACCTACAGCGACGATGCTCGCCTCAGCTGCAAGCAGTTCCTTCTCGAGGAGGGCAATGGTGAGCTCAGTGGGGGAGCGAGCGAGGAAGTGGTCCCTGACTGCGCGCAGAGAGTCAGGGAGGCGGGTGACGATGTGGTAGAGAGTGATCCAGAGCGGGGGGGGGTTGCTAGCAAGGAACTCGTCAGGCATAGCAGCGCGAAAGCGGGCCTCACTAGTCTTGAGGTGGGTGATGAGGTCAGCAACTGTGCTAAAGGAGGCCAGGTCGGGGAACAGGTAGGGGAGTGAGAGGCGGCCTAGTGTGGCAGAAGCAGGTGAGGAGTAACGAGCAATGACAACAGTGTACAGTTCCTTAGCAGTCTTGTGCTGGCCAAAGTGCTCGCGCTCATCGATCGGTAGGGAGTTGCGAATAGCAAAGCGAGCGTGGGCGTCACGAGTCTGCCACTGTGAGCGCTGAGTGCTGTCAGCAGTGGTAGGAGGGGCAGTAGCGTGACCGAGGGCATGATCGTACAGTGAAATATCCTCCTTGGCAGTGAGCTGTAGGAAGAGGTGCAGGTCATCTAGCCAGGTGTCGAACTTCACTGGGCGGCCCTCAGCATCGAAAGCGAGTACGGAAGGACTAGCCATAGTAGTAGCAGCAGTAGCAGTAGCAGTAGTAGCAGTAGGAACGGGGCCGCTGGGAGGCTGTGCGCGGGGTCAACGGGGCCTGCGGTGCCTCTGTGCGGAGCGCGGGCGGCGCGGTTCGGTTCAGGTTGGGCGGCGCGGTTCGGGTAGGGCGGAGCGGCTCGGTTCGGGTCGTTCGGGGCCTCTAGGGGCAAGCGCGAGCTGTTCGGGGCCTCTAGGGGCAAGCGCGGGGCCGTAAGGGGCCTCTAAGGGCGAGCGCGGGGCCGACGGGGGCCTCTAGGGAGGCGAGCGCGGGGCCGACGGGGCCGTAAGGGGCGAGCGCGGGGCCGACGGGGCCGTAAGGGGCGAGCGCGGGGCCGTAAGGGGCGGGCGCGTGGGCCGACGGGGCCTTAAGGGGCGGCGCGCGGGTCGCTAAGGGGCGGGTCGCGGGTCGCGGGGCCTTAGGGGGCCGTGAAAAACGAGGCGCCCTAGGGCGCAGGTAGGTAGGTAGGTAGGTAGGTAGCGGTGGGCCCTAAAAAAAACGGTCCTAGCGAAGGACCTGCTCTGAAACCATGTCAGAATGAACGGACAGGAATGGTTGAACTAACAGTGAAATCAGTACAAGTACCTAACCCTAGAATTGTGTACCCCCTATAGGCTAACCCACTGTAGCCTAAACAAACACAACATATATAATGTTTGACAGTTCGGAGCCTGGGGGTGCTGAGCCTGGAGGTGCTGAGTCTGGGGGTGCTGAGTCTAGCGGTACTGAGCCTGGGAGTGCTACACCTGGAGGAGCCCTCTCCTCACAGCAGCTGCAGGAGAGGTACCTACAGTACTGCAGCCTCAGGAGAGGTGCTGCTGGAGCTGGTACCAGTGCTTCCCCTCCTACCCGGGAGCTCCCCTCCCTTCAGCGGATCCGAGAGTGGTACACGCGACGCTGCAGTCTTCGGAGTGGCGCTCCTGGTGTTGCGGACCCTGGTACTGCAGGTGCTACTGGTGCTGAGGAGCCGGGCGTTGGAGCTGCTGCTGGTGCTGGGGACCCGGACGGTGGAGCTGCTGCTGGTGCTGAGGACCCGGGCGGTGGAGCTGCTGCTGGTGCTGCGGACCCTGACGTTGGACCTGCTGCTGGTGCTGAGGACCCGGGCGGTGGAGCTGCTGCTGGTGCTGCGGACCCTGACGTTGGAGCTGCTGCTGGTGCTGAGGACCCGGACGTTGGAGCTACTGCTGGTACTGAGGACCCTGACGCTGGTGTCTCTACTGGTTCTGGAGACGCTGCGCGGCCGCGACCTTACTTCGTGCCGCTCCTTCAGCAGGTTCTTGGTCAGACACCTCCTCCTTGTCCTCCTTCCTCCTTAGAGTGTCCTCCGCCTGTCCAGTCGCAGTCACAGTTACCGCCTGCCTCGCCTCTCCCTGGTCCCTCCCCTTACACTGGTCCCACAAGAGGTCTTACGGAGCGTCGTGAGCCTGAGTCTCGTCCTGCGTCGCCTGTTCGTACTGCTCGCACTGGTCGTCGTGTCCCACGTGAGCGTCCTCCTCCTGTCCCAGGCACTCACTTCATGACTCTGCGTCCCTCTACTGCTCCTCAGCGTGTCCTTCTGCCGTCTCCTCCTGCGTCCTCTCTACCTATTCTTCCTGACTCGGAGTCTGACTCCCGTCGTGCTGCCAGTCCCACTGTCACGCGTCTCCTCGCCACTGTTGTCACTGACCCTTCCTTTGAGTCCTCTGCTGCGTCTGCTCTGGTCGCTGAGTTGGTTGACTTTGCTGCCCGGTGTCGTCTCGACTACGCCGCTAGTCTTGTTGCTGAGTTTGAGTCTGTCTGTCCTCCGTCCGTCGGGGGTGAGTGTGCTCTTGGCACGGACGTCCTTGAGGACAGACAGGAGGAGTTCCAGTGTTTTGCTGCTGCTTTGCCCCATCTCGTGTCCATGCTAGTTGCCCTTGAGGGAGACCCGGATGCACCAGACATCCCGACCCCGCGCTCTTACGCTGAGGCGATGGCGGGTCCCTACTCCTCTCAGTGGCAGACAGCCATGGACGCAGAGATGGCTTCCTGGAAGTCCACAGGCACCTACGTCGACGAGGTTCCCCCACCTGGGGCGAACATTGTCAGTGGCATGTGGATTTTCAGGGTGAAGCGGCCGCCGGGTTCTCCTCCTGTCTTCAAGGCGCGCTACGTTGCTCGAGGCTTCAGTCAGCGAGAGGGAGTAGACTTCTTCCAGACCTTCTCCCCCACCCCGAAGATGACCACTCTTCGGGTGCTGCTGCACATAGCCGCTCAGCGCGACTACAAGCTTCACTCACTTGACTTCAGCACTGCTTTCTTACAAGGCAGCCTGCACGAGGAGATCTGGCTGCGTCGCCCTCCTGGCTTCACTGGGTCGGTTCCTCCTGGTACCCAGTGGAGGCTCCAGCGGCCGGTCTACGGTCTCCGCCAGGCGCCACGTGAGTGGCACGACACACTGAGGACTATGCTTGCGGCTCTTGGGTTCACTCCTTCTACTGCTGACCCGTCGCTGTTTCTACGCACCGACACCTCGCTGCCGCCGTTCTACATCCTCGTGTACGTCGACGACTTGGTCTTTGCCACTGCTGACACTGCGGCACTCGCCCACGTGAAGTCGGAGCTGCAGAAGAGACACACGTGCACAGACCTGGGTGAACTGACAAGCTATCTTGGCTTGCGGATCACTCGGGACAGAGCACGGCGCACCATCACCTTGACTCAGTCACACATGGTGCAGCAGATCCTTCAGCGCTTCCGCTTCACGTACTCCTCGCCTCAGTCCACTCCTCTGCCTACCGGTCACTCGCTCTCAGCTTTGCCTTCGGATGAGTCCGTAGAGCCGAGTGGCCCGTATCCAGAGCTTGTGGGCTGCCTCATGTACCTGATGACCTGCACTCGACCTGACCTTGCATACCCTCTTAGCATCCTTGCACGCTATGTCGCTCCTGGCCGTCACAGGAAGGAGCACATGGATGCCGCTAAGAGGGTGTTGCGCTACTTGTGCAGTACGTCGGGCATGGGGCTAGTGCTTGGAGGGCGAGACCGAGTTGTACTTACTGGACACTCAGACGCTTCTTGGGCGGACGACCAGGCTACTCAGCGGTCGTCTCAGGGTTACACCTTCAGCCTTGGCTCTGGCTCAGTTTCTTGGCGTTCTACACGCTCTTCTTCTGTTCTCAGCTCCAGTTGTGAGGCTGAGATCTACGCCACAGCCATGGCGGCCCAGGAGCTACGCTGGCTGACCTACCTGCTGACCGACTTGGGAGAGCGGCCTCGTTCTCCTCCAGTGCTGTACGTCGACAACAAGGCTGCCATTGCCTTGTGTGAGGAGCACAGAGTGGAGCACAGAACGAAGCACATCGCCCTGCGGTACTTCCTTGCTCGAGAGCTGCAGCAGCGCGGTCAGCTTCGTCTGCGTTACGTGGCCACTGAGGCCAACACTGCTGATGTGTTCACCAAGGCGCTTCAGCCTTGTGACCATCAGCGCTTCTGTACTCTTCTAGGCCTTGTGCCTGCTGGACCTCACTTGCTTACTTCTTGACTCTGTTTGTACTGTGATCTCTATATATATACCTGCATGTTTACACTTGCTAGGTTGCGATCACTGTATCTCTTGCTATATTATCAAACTGCATGTGAACTGGTCTTGTGACCGCTTGCTTGTGCTCGGAATTTGTGTGGTATCCTTGAGATCCACCCTGAGCCTGTTTTGCTTTGCTTTGCTTTGACTGGTCTTGTGACCCTCTGGTTGTCTCCCACTTCGCCTATGGGGGTGTGTCAAACATTGTATGTTTATATTGTGTAGGCTATAGTGGGTTTAGCCCTTGAGGGTACACAAACTTAGGGTTTCATACTTGTACCCACCTTCCTGCTAGTTCATTCATTCTCGTTCTATTCTAGATTCTAACACGTCTTCCTTGGATGCGCCTGTCTCGTCGCCTGCTCCTGCCTCTTCTGATCCTGCTGGCAAAGGCAAGGGCAAGGTTCCGGTGGGGTCAGTCAACGTGTCTGTTCCTGATGCTCTAGCGAGTGGCTCTGGACTTTCCTTGGAGGAGTAGTTGAGCTCTCTTCGTACGACGCCTCCTGACAGCGGTTTCATTACTCTGACGAAGAACTCGAGGTCGACGTCAGGACAGAAGCGTTCAACCGTGTTCGCTATACGGCGATCCTGCTCATCCCCGTGGGCTCTCGCTCTGGAGGTCGCTTCCATCATCACCACGGTGCGGACTCTGATGCGGCGAGTCTGGTCGTCTACGCTCTCCGACGGTGCTGTCGACTCAGCGAAGTTTCAGGAGTTGCTACTGGCGTATGTGGCGAAGACCCGTTACAGTCGCCTGCAGGTCTCTCTCCTGCGTGAAGAAGACATTATGAGCATCCGGTCCAAGGAAGTGGACTACACGCGTCCCAACGGCACGGTTTTCCGGCTCTACTGGCAGCACACGGACGATCCCGCTTTTGTGCGTGAGCGTGCGACGAACAAGCAAGCGATTGAAGTGGTGATCCGGGACGTACCTGCGACGAAGACTCCGGAGATGCTGCGGGAGCTGATGGTGGTCTACCAGCTGCGGAATCGGCGGCAGTCAGCCTTCAAGGACGGTGTCTGCTTCCACGGTGTTCTGCACCCCGTCACTGGAGCCGATACCGACGTCGTCAAGGGACTTGTGATCCCTCACCCTTGCGACAGATACCGCTGGCGTCACGTGTTTGAGGACCTCCTGGAGATTGGTCGCCGTTTCTTGGTCCACTTTCTTGCGCTGTCTTGCCTGCTCTGCGGTGGACAGCATTATGACGTCAACCATGATGCTTTCACTACGGAGCGGCAAAACAACATAGGGAAGTGGAACCTTACCTTGGGAAGGGTTTATCGTATCAATGGTAATCGCTTTTCTCAGCATGCTCTCACCTATTCTCATGCTTGTTCTTGTGCTAACTGCCAAGTCGTATTCTGCAGCTGCGTCTCTCCCGGCATCTCCGCTGATCACTCCCATCCTGCTGGATCTGGCTATGGTGCTGATCTCCAATGGAGGGAACCGGGAAGAGTGGATCTGCACGCAAGTGGGCTGCTGGAAGGCGAAAGGGAAGAGCTTCATGACTGTAGCAGAGCACATCACCTCCGCGAATTACCTTATCCATCTGGAGAAGCTCAGATCTGCGACTCGTGCCTCACTCGAGAAAGCCAGTGTCAACGTCACGAAGAAAGAGTATGGGCTCTAAGGCAAGAGCAGCTCGGTCGGAACACAGCAGCAACAGCAGTAGTCCTCTCAGTAGTTAGTGTCGTTCTCTTCTTAACCCTGTAGATGCGTAAGGGTTCTCAAGTTGTTATCAAATGAGTAAAAAAAGTCTCATCAGTTTCGCAGGCCTTAACGTCAACGGCCTAGGAGATAAGACTAAGCAGCAGCGTGTCCTTAAATGGTCCAGACAAGCAGCGGACATTATTGTCCTCTCTGACACTAGATTAGCATCTGACCACCCGTTCTGGTCCCACCCGACTTTCAGTTTAGCAGCAGCAACCTCACCTAGGACGAAGGCCGGCGGTGTAGCTCTTCTCTGCCGTTCATCTCTTCTTAGTTTCTCCAGCGTAGTAGTCCATCCTGTCAAAGTTAGCTGTAGAAAGTAAGAATGAAGAAAGGAGAGGTTTGCACTAGCAACAATGGTGGTACAAATAGCTAACCCTAGAAGGGTTGTACTCGCTATAGAGCACCCCACTGCAGGCTAGAGCATAATATTCTGACACACCCCCATAGTCAAAGTGGGGTGTAATCAGCAGAGCAAGCAAAGTAGTACAAGCTCAGGGTGGATCACGATGTCACCACACATTCTGAGCACAAGCAAGAAGCAATAGTTTAAGGTTCACAATTATGAGCAAAGCTAGAGGCAGTCACAGGGGGCAAGTGAGGAGGAGGAGGGCTGGTGAGAGGAGAGTAGATAGGAGGCGACGACTGAAGATGCAGACACACGGGCAACAGACGGCTCTGGTGCGACAACGTGGCTACCGGGAATGAGTGCCCCGGAGTACAGGAGTAACAGGCTCCGCGGCTAATATGCGCGGCAGGAGCAACGGACCCACAGGCGACGGCGCAACCGGCTCTCTGAGCTACCGGGAATGAGTGCCCCGGAGTACAGGCGCTGCGTACGACACGACGGCAACCTCCGCTCAACCTCCCCCAACAGTCCCACACCCCTCGACACACACCCCCTGCTGCGCCCCTAGCTCCACTCCCCCTTCACCCCCCTAGGACCACTCCTTCGGCTCCCCACACAACCACCCCCCTGAGCGGCAGCTGCAGCAGCGGGAGACGGAGGAGGAGGAGAAGGAGGGGACGGGGCACACAACCGGCACCCCCACACCCGCCACCCCCACACTCTACATCCCCAAACCCTAAAACGGGTGGGATAGGGGCAGGAGCGCGGGGGACGGCGAGAGGGGGACGGACGAGGCGCGCGCAGGCTGCCCGCGCCGCGCGCTGGCCTGGCGCAGCCCGTACGGGCCGCGCGCGGGCCTGGCGCCGACCGTACGGGCCGCGCGCGGGCTGTACGGGCCGCGCGCGGGCCTGGCGCAGCCCGTACGGGCCGCGCGCGGGCCTGGCGCAGCCCGTACGGGCCGCGCGCGGGTCCCAGGGGCGCTTCGACGGGCGACGGGGGCGTTTTGGCGGGCGACGGGGGGCGCTCCGACGGGCGACGGGGGGAGGGCGCTTCGACGGGCGACGGGGGGCACTTCGACGGTGGGAAACCGCCGCGCGCCTCGGGGCGCACGGCGTGCAGAAAACCGCCGCGCGCCCCGAGCGCACGGCAGGAAGAAGTCGTCGCGCGCCCGAGTCGCCCGGCAGGAAGTAAAGCAGCGGAAGCATTAGGTGGTGGGCCCACCCATAGGATCGACCCAGGAGGGTCGACCTGCTCTGATAGCATGTCAAAGTTAGCTGTAGAAAGTAAGAATGAAGAAAGGAGAGTTTGCACTAGCAACAATGGTGGTACAAATAGCTAACCCTAGAAGGGTTGTACTCGCTATAGAGCACCCCACTGCAGGCTAGAGCATAATATTCTGACACATCCGTCTGGTCCTTTAATGTCCGCGGAGGTCCATGGCCTTGGGCTGCATCTTACCGTCATAGCCTGTTACCTCCCAGCTAATGCGACTTCCCGTGCAGCGTTTCTTCGTGACTCCCTTGGTCCGGTGGTAGACTCGATCCCGCCGTCCAACCACCTGCTCATCATAGGCGATCTCAATATCATAGAAGATCCGGTATTAGATAAGTCATCACACGTAGGATCTACTGCGGAAAATTATAGACTTCTCACCCGATGTACTGCGTTTCAGCTCTCAGACGCTTTCCGCACGCTATATCCTAGAAAACGAGAGTTCACTTTCTTCTCTCAAGCGATGCAGGCCAGCACGCGCATCGACCGGGCTCTTATTTCTCACTCTCTTCTACCTCACCTAATTCAGGCTTCTCATGTGATGCCGGTGGAGTACATATCTGACCACAGTTTTGCGATTCGGGTGGCTCTTCGGATCGATGCCAAGATCTGCATTGGTCCCGGCCTCTGGAGGCTCCACGCGTCAATGGTCCACACGCATGGAGTTCGGCGGATTGTGGAAGCGACGGTGGAGAAGTGTGCTGTCACTGATGGTAGTAGCTTCGAGCTGCTTCTTTCGCGGCTGGCTGCTGGGCTTCGGGCTTTTGCCAGAGAAGAAGGCAAGCGAGTGAAAGCGACGGTGACTCATCTGGTGGATGAGGTGGCGGAGCTCCGTCAGGAAATGATGCAGGATCCGTCATGCAAGGCAACAAGTGCACGGTTAGCTGTGAAGGAGGCGCAACTGCTTGAATATCAGGCGTCAAGAAAGGACAAGCTATTCCTGATGTCTGGCATGCGGACGGAGCTCCGGGGGGAGGTGGCATCAAAGCATCTGACGGCGTTGGTGCAGGCTAAGAAAGCGAGTACTCAGATTGCGGAGTTGCAAACGGCGTCAGGGGTCGTTTCCGATTCTCAAGGCATTCTTCGCGCGGCATCGGAATTCTTCGCAGATATCTTCGGGCGGGACCTGTGTCAGCTGGATGATGACTGGCGTCCTGCGTTGGATAAGAAGCTGAGGAGCTGGGAAGCAGAAGAGCTGGCGGCAGACTGGACGGAAGAAGAAGTTAAAAAGGCTTTCAGTGCGATGGCGGCGAACAAGTCCCCGAGGAAAGATGGTCTGCCGAAGGAGTTGTTTGAAGCACACTGGGATTTATAGGGTAAAGGCTTCATGGCCTTAGCAAAAGACTTCGCATCGACAGCAATTCTCTCAACGGAGGTGAAGGAGGCAGTTACGATATTTATGCACAAAAAGGGGGATAAGGACCAGCTTAACAACTACTGCCCCATCACTCTCCTCAACTTCACTTACAAGGTGCTGGCGAGAGTTGTGGCTGACAGGATGAAGAAGTTTCTGAGGCGGGTGATCTCACCGGAGCAGTATGGTTTTCTCCCGGGGAGGCGGCTGACAGACGCGGTGGGGCCTGTGGCTGATATCATTGACACGGCGCGGAACGACAATGAGGATTGGTTCCTCCTCTTGGTTGACTTCAAAAAAGCGTTCGATTTTGTCTCCCGCGGCTACCTTTTCCGGACGCTTCGGGCTATGGGGTTCCCTGAACGTTTGGTGCGGTGGGTGGAAGGCCTGCATGCGGGAACACAGACGCGGCTGTTAGTCAATGGCTGGATGGGGGAAGGAGTGGAAGTGGTTTCGGGGGTCCGGCAGGGCTGTCCCCTTGCTCCATACCTGTTTTTGTGTGCGGTTGAGCCGCTGGCGCAAATGGTTCTGAAGCGGAAGTTGGGCATCAGCAAGGCGAGCGAGCGGTTGGCATACATCGGGCATGCAGACGACACCACCCTGGTCCTGGAGGGGAAGCAGCAGATCATCAGGGCTGAACAAGTGTTAGCGAAGTTCGAATTGACCTCGGGGTTAGCGACAAACAGGGACAAGTCGGTCATCTTACCGTTGGGGAACAATCTCGGCAGGACGACTGGTCGGGTGAACGGGTTCCGCTGGGCGAAGGCGGAGGAAGCGGAGAAGCTGCTAGGGGTCTGGGTCACTCCTTCGGGAAGCTACCTGCCAACATGGGAGAAAACTGCGGAGGATGTGACAGGGAAAGTTAAAAAGTGGCAACAAAAATTCCTTCCAATGGCGGCAAGGACGGCGGTGGTTAATTGTTATGCGATGCCCAAGGCAGCGTTTCAGGCGCAAGTCTACCCGCCTCCAGCGAAGCTGTGGGGCACTGTCTCAAAGACCTTCTACAATTTCGTCTCTGGGAATAAAGCAACATCAGACACGGTGTTTCGGCTCTGGAGCAAGGATCTACTTCACACTCCAAGAAAGTTGGGGGGGCGTGGGCCTGCATGACCCGGAGATGATCTTAGCGTGCCTCACGGCCCGTCGTGTGGGTTTACTGGCGCTGGAGACAAACGTGCTGAAAAAACACCTTATGACGCCGGCGGCAGACTTGCCCATGGGTATAGAGTCCTTCTTTGCCCATGAGAAGCTGCTTAAGCACTGGGAGGGGAAGAGTCCTCGCTGGAAGGCGGCAGTCGAGAATTTCATGAAACGCCGCTGGGTAATCTTCCGAAGGCAAGCACTCGTGAAGCGGTGGAAAAGGAGCGGATCGTCTTCAACAAGCGTATTTTGCTGAAGGGAACCACGCCGATTGGGGGGCAAAAGGATGCGAAGCCGCTGTGGGAAAGAAGACTGGGCGATCTGCTCGCAACTGACGAGTCTGGGGCTCCTGCACTCAAAACCTCGGCTGTGCTGGAGAGGGAGCTGGGTGGGAAAGCTTCTGCTAAGTTAGCGGTGAGGGCTTTCGATGCTGCTCCCCTGAGGTGGAGGGAATTACTGCTCAGTGCACCCACTCAGGGCTCTCAGGGGACCACATCGGCTGGTGTTCGGAGGGTTCATCATTCTGTGGGGCGCAACCTCTCCGACTTCCCCATCTTTGAGGGTGGGGGGATTGCGCCTCTGAAGTGGTTGAAGCTGCTTTGGAGGGAGGGGCAAAAGCCATCGGTGAAGCAGTTACTGTGGAAGGATAGATGGAGCAGGCAGATAAACTGGAAGCGGACTATTGCCATTCGGGACTCATTGGTCACACCGAGCAAACCGAGAGACCTTCTGCTGCGGGTTCACAATCTCAATTTGCAAGTTGGAGAACGGGTGGCGTTTCTGAGCAGCAAACCGGTCTGCCCGTACTGCGGAGGAGTAGAAACCCTAGAGCATTGTCTCTACAGTTGCCCGAAGATACAGCCTGTGACCTCGGCGCTCCTGAAAACCGTCCGCATGATGAACGCCTCACGCACGGTGTCATCCCTCGGAGACCTATTGTTCGGGAAGGCAAGATCCAGCTCAGCTTTTCCGGAGGCCACGATTACGTCAATCACGCTTCATCAGCTGTGGCTGGAGCGGTGTGATGCTGTTTTTCGGGGGCAAAAGTTTCGGGCGAGGAAGGTGCTCCGGAAGGTTGAAACGGCTTTTCGGCTTCATGCAAGGCTGTACACGCGGACAAGAGAAGCGCGGTGGAAGAAGTGTCAGGGTACTTGTCAGGAGGAGAAGTTTCGTCGCACAATGGAGAAAGAGGACAAGATGCTGTTTCGGATCAGGGATAAAAATCGCAAGTCGTGGACGTGGACGAACGCATTCGCAAATGTCTGGATTGCACCGAGGATGACTCACCGACCTCCTTAGAGGCCACATCTGGGGCGGCCGTGTGGCTTCCCCTCATGCACAGTTGCGACTGTTATTGATTATGTATGCTTGCTCTGTTCGGTATACATATCAATTACCTAAAAAAAAAAAAAAAAAAAAAAAAAACATGGACACATGACGTCTTAGCGAAAATTTTCACGAAATTCACGAAAAGATCGGGTAACCAGCAAAAGTTCAACCAAAAATCCGAACGTCTACACCAAAAGACACGCGCCCTAACCCATCCCGTATGGCGTACGTACTCCCCAAGACACACCTGCTTGGACTGGTCAACCCTATATTCCCTCATCCAGCGCAACTCGTATTCCCTCACCCTCACCTAGCGCACCTCTCTCTTCCCGCCATAAATTTCCAGGGGGAGTTAGCTGTGTCGAATGTCATCTAGGATCTGTTAGCAATGGTCAAGGCCAGTGACCAGTGAGTTAGGCTCCTCATCTGTCGGTGCCTTCCGTACCGCATTTCACATTCGCGACACGAAATTTCTCAAAATTGATCGCTGGCAGGACGATTCGACCCCAAATCACGTTCGTCCGGATTTAACCTTCTATAAAAGCAGAGGTGTGATGGTCCTCTCATCAACCGCATGTTCTGGCGAGCGAAAGTTCTTACTGCTCCTCCTGTACACCGTGCTTCGTCGCTCTCGTATATACTGCGCCTACATTTCGACTTCGGTTAGAATTAGCGTCTGAGACGTCTACGATCCCAGCTTCGCCTCCCCGATCGGTTGCGCGCTGTGCCGTGCTCTCACCTTCCAGCTTCGCGATCACAAAAGGCGGCATCATGGCTTCCGCGCGGCGCTTCCTGCTTCTCGCGATGCTTGCGCTCATCACCACGACCAGTGAGTCGCCACGGCCAGTGAGTCGCCACGGCCAGTGAGTCCCATTCACTCGTCGCTTCATGCCGTTCCTTCTGGCGTATCACGAGGCTCTTCCGACAAATCTGAAAATCTCGCTCCACCTTCTTCGAATTGTTATTTTTTTATCTCGACCTGGGCTCATGCCCGTCTTGTTCCGTCATCCTCCCTCACCGCCTTCCTGTCCCTTCAGTCCTCGCGGAAGGCGCCAGCAAGACCCGCTCGCAGGCGACGGCAGGCGAAGCGAGGGACAAGGCTGCTGCCACCGATAAGCGCGCGGACCACTCGGGTGCGGCCGGATCGGCGCATGGGAAGAAACCCTTGTCAAAGGTCCACTGGTGATCCCCGATTGATCCTAGGGAAGGGTTACAGGCACGTTGGCCTGGGGGGTTATGGGCGCACTCACCCGCTACACAAACAAGCCCTTTTATCCAAGTGGTTAGTGACTGAGATTCTGACATGGTATCAGAGCGAAGGTCTCGGGTTCGAATCTCGGTGTGTGCACCTCGGGCATCCCAGTGCGGGGGGGTGTCAGAGGTCCACTGGAGATCCCCGATTGATCCTAGGGAAGGGTTACAGGCACGTTGGCGGGGAGGGTTATGGGCGCACTCACCCGCTACACAAACAAGCCCTTTTATCCCAGTGGTTAGTGACTGGGATTCTGACAACCCTCCCGCTCCGAGTCGCAGCAGGCAGCAGTGCAGACGGCTGGCAGCAAGCGGCAGGGCAAGCAGCAGACGATGGGCGTGAAGCAGCAGAAGTCGTTTGATGGTCATGCGGCAGCCAACGGAACTCGTGTGGCAGGAGGGAAGGGGCACGTGAATGGCACGACGCATGTGAATGGCACGAGGCATGTGAATGGCACGAGGCCGCAGCGGGGTGGTGCTGCTGGTGGCGCTGCTGGGCTGCGCAAGGAGGGCGGCGGTGCTGGTGGCGGGCGTGGCGGGCGAGGAGGCAGCGTGATTGGTGAGTAGGATTGCATCATTACGTGACTGCTTCTGACGTCTTAATGGCTGCTTGTACGGTCTAAAGCGTGTACGACTCTAGTGACGGCCATGGCCTGGTATGCTCATTCATTGCTGCACTCTGAGGCTTGTCAAGTGAGCGCCGCTGCCTCTCCGTCTCTCTGCCTGCCACCACCTGTGTCTCCACCCCTCCTTGCACTTGCATCTGAGCCCTCTTTCCTCTGCATGTGCAATGCAACTCGTTCCTCTGCTACTTACACTCCGTCTCACCCCTCCTGCGTTGACCCTCTTTTTTCTCTCCTCAACCTCCTTCCCACACCGCCCGCCCCTTCCAGGACGGCCTCGGACATGGACGTGCACTACCCGCTCTCCCTCGCGCACCTCTCCTCGCCCTCCCCTCCCACCGCCGCCTCCATCCATGCAGGCCCCGCCTCCTCCCCCTCTGGCTCGCTCCTCCTCGCCTTCCCCGCCTCCGCCTGGACCAACACCACCCGCCCCGTCCATCGCGCCTCCAACGCCACCGCTGCTGCCCCCCCTGCGCGCTTCAGCTACGGCGCCAGGGGCATGTGGGCCAACGCATCGTCCCTCTCCGCCGCTGCGGGCGCCTCTGTGGCTGCGGCTGTGAGCAGCATTCTCGCTGCCCCCGCCTCCTTCCACGCTCTCATCGCCACCTCCGCGTTCCCCCAGGGGGCTGTGCGCGGCCAGATGGGCAACCTTACCCACGTGGGGAAGTAGCAGCGGGGAGAGAAGGGGCAATGAATGGGAAAATGATGAACATAACAAGTGGTGGGGTGTACCAGCGTGGAGGGAAGGGGGCGATTATTGCGGATGATCATCATGAACTGTGGTTGAAAGGTGGATGGGTGGAAGGGGATGGGAGTTGAGTGGTGGGGCTAGGAGAGGGGAGGAGCCGCAGTTGCTGCTGTGCACGAGACGAGAAGTTACAAGGGGCTCTGTGAGCGGGCAGATGGCAAGTATGTCCCACGGGCGGCAAGGAGAGTCCCCACTGTTGGGCTGAGAAAAGCCCTTAGGATCTTTTGCAAGGGTAAACTCTGGGTAGGAACAATGTAATAGCGGAAGCATTAATGAAGAGATTGAACCACCTTGCGCTAGTATGTGAGGGCAAGATAGATTGATTAAAACAAAGAGATTTAAACATTTATATAAGAGTACAAGGAATATGAAGAGATACAGTTATAACTACTTTACTGTTGCTGTTGCGGTTCGATACAGTGACGACTCGGGCAACTGCTCTGTAGCGAGTCAGTTGTGTGTCCTTGCTGTCGCGCTGTACTTGTCAGGTCAAAGGTCGCTGACCTTTGACTTTCGCGTAACCTCCAGCAACTGCTCAACCTCCGAGGGTTGACTCGCCGGTGCTTCGATAGACTTCGTTTCGCTTGTGCCATAGTGTTTCGACACGACAGAGGCGCTTAAGATTCATTGTTTCCAATACCCACAAGGATCCGTAAAGAGAGGGTTGATTACGACGACCCCCCTCAGATGACATGCTTACCTTGCCATTACGTTAGCTGATGCAATTGCCGTACGTTTTGCTAGGGTGTGTCCACGAGGGGTTGGCTTGGCATTAGGTAGGACTTGGCAAGATGCTTGCTTGGCCTTTCTTGGATGAGTATCATAAGCCTATCGTTCAAATGCTGAAAGAAGCGCAGGAACCATGAAACAGTCACCAAATTGTGTACGGTTACTGTTACGAATGATCTTGTCAGAGTGCGCAGAATATCGAATAACGAGAATGAGAATTACAGAATGACGAAACAATGAAGTAGCGAGGTAAATTGGGCGTGAGGAAATGCACGGGCGTTTCCCCACCT